AACAAACATAAGTACTCACTTACACAGACCATTTCTGATCAATGACAATAAATGATGTCTTTGGTTTATGCTACCTATATATGTAACCAAAAACCATTTTCAAAACACTGGGTTTTATGTCTCACAGATTTTGAGGATGCTTTAAAAAGATCTTTAGAAATAGCATGGTAGCCATATCAGAGTTATTCCATTGAAGAATGTTGTAAATGGATAAAAATAACCAGAGAGAAGTTTTAAAATATGGTGGAAATTCCTAGAAGTAATCAAAAAGTGAGGAAACTACATCTAACATGAAACTGATTAAGAAGCAAATTCAAGGGAATTACATTAAGCAGCAGCACTAATGTTTAATGAAACAGATCAAAATGTTCACATTTTTATAAATCATCCATGGATTACTCTTTATTTTATTTATGATGAAATGAAATCTGAAACAAAGTTCTACAGCCAGAATAAACATAGATGGGTGTGGGGTACACCCTCAGTTCTCCCCCAGTGCCAGAGGCTCTGGAGGTGAGGTAATGCCAGCTCTGACAGTTCTCCTACCTCCCAACAACCTGACCTAATGTTGTCTCTGGAACAGGACTGAGAGTGACTTTCAGGCTACATCTGCACTAGGAAATTATCTGAAGATTGCTCTCTGACCTGAGGCCATCTGTCAGAGCAGTGTTTCTGGAAGGCCAAAATTCTCATTATCAACTGTCTCATTCTCCAGCATAGGATGAATGCCTGGACTAGTCAAAGCACCACGAATGATCCTTGACCCATACCACACCCTGAACTGCACCAGGGCACTTTTTATAAGAACACTAACTGATGAGAGCAAAACCACTCCAAGAAGTAAGCTAACAAACAGATCTGTGTGCTAGATCTGTGTCCCTGATCAGTGCAGACATAGTTTTTGTATCACACAATGATCAAGGAAAACATGGTTCATCAAACAAAAAAATGTATGGCTCAATATTTTCTCTGGGTCGACTCTGTAGATTACTTAAACAAAACTTCATGAAACCAACATGAAACATGATGGAAAGGTACCTTGTAAGATGCAGAGCAGGTCTCTTCCAGGAAGGAAGATCCTGGTGTAATAGCAGGACACTAATTATAAAGCACACCTCATTCTGCCTGCACAGGCAGCTGAAAAAATGTAAGTTTTCATCTGCACTTAGCCAGCTTCATTTCAAGCAAGTTTTAGAATCAAAACTCGCATTAATTTCAGTGGGACTTTTTTCTGTGTATGGTATGCAGAACAGAGCCCTCTCCTGGTAAGCACTGAAGATAATCGAGGACATCCCTGGCACAGTATTTGGCACTGTCTGCAGCACATATCTATGTGATGAAGTATTGAACGTAGGCACTCAAAATAAAATATTAGAAAAGCTCAGCTATTTGGAGCCACGGAACCTTATGATTGAGGTCAGATCTGTTTGGATTAAAAAATATATGGAAATCCAAATAACACTGAAATGATGCCATACTTGAGAACTGAAACAAAAAAATAGGTTATATAACATACTTAAAGGCACAGTTGGCATTTCAAGAGCACAATGACTAGCCAGTTGTAACCTGTTTTTGAACCCACAGCTGAACCCTGCATGTCGAATTACTGAAAAGGGTGTGTCACCTTCTTTTTAAACCTGAAATCTGATAACCAGGTCAAAAGAACCCCCATTCATTCTTTCTTTTTATGACCATAAAGCCATGAAGAACCAATAATAACCTGAAGTATACAGATCAACCCACTTTGCCTAATTAACAGGCTTTTGGATTTCATACTTGAACCTGAAAATAAGAAGCCATATTTCAAAGCCCTGCTTTTGTAAAACAAAATTGTGACAGGTACCTAAGATGGATGCAGCATATGGTAGGCACTTCAATAAATCATAACCATGATACATTGCCAAAATAGTGACTGTGTGTCATTAGTTTTTCTCAGAATAACTAAGTATAATCCCTTTGCGTAAACAACAACAAAACCTTGTGGTTACTGAGATGCGATGTAAAAAAATATTGCTTTAATTTAAAAATTACTCATAAATATTTCAAAGCCCTTATTGTTTTTAGCAACATATGCAAACAGGATTCTCTGGAGCCATACTACTTATGGCTGTAATCTCACTACATTTCCCAAGGTAAGTAGGGTTGGGTCTATAGTATTTGCATGGAAGACCTCCAAGGAAATTCCAAGTTACTGGGTGAACTGGTACTTGTGCAAGGTGACATTCTTCTCCTGAGTCAGTATTGAACCAGCATAAAGGATATGATCACAAGTGCTGTCTTTTATTTAAGAGGTAAAACCAAGGATACCGAGTGTTTGTGGATATTAAACACCCTGGTAAGTTTTGGTAGTGTAGGAGTGCCTGGCCAAACAGCAATCTAGATAATTACATCTTGCCTACTTACATTCCCATGTTGCTTTAAATGGATAAGGTATTATTCTTCTATTTTGGTGTAAAAGTGGGCCCTACAGCCCTTCCTTGGGCTCTCTTGGGACTATTTCTAGCATGACCTTTTCTGTGGTCACACAGAGTCAATTTATATGAACCAGTGTATTGTACAACATTTTGGCTTTCTGAAATCACTTCCACTGAGGTCACTGGAATTTACTTCAGGCCAAAGACAGTGATTTAACAAAATCATCATTTAATTCCTACCCGTGAAAGTCGGATTTACAATCAATCACTGTGAAAAATTGTTGGGTTAGGAGATCAGTTTCTGTAGGACTCCCCTCAGTCCCTTTTGACCCAGGCCAAACACTCATTACTTTTGGTACAACCCTGCTCACTCTTACCAAAATGAATACCAAAATAACAACGTGATCCAATGACATCAAGACAAGCCCCCTTACTGGAAGACTTGTCTTGGGACTATACCATGTAACAACACTGCAAGCCTCTCATCTCTCCTCAATTTGAAGCAAGTTATGCTGAGCAAAGATATATGCAATCTTTTCAAGTCAGCTGTACCTTACGTTTTAAGAGAGAGTGCAACAGATGTTTAAGAGCTTGCTTTAAACTGATATGTCTATTAAAACAACTGACGTTACTAGGGGACTATTCCCCTTAAATGAATTTGTTTCATTGAAGTGGAAAGAAACCAGACTTCAAAAGACCTTCATTATTACCATGTTTGAGAACCTCAGGTTAGACAACTGTGCTGCCATTCACAAAAGTCCTCTAGAAAGGAAGGAGTTGTTAGCATGTTTCCCTGCAGAAGGAGCCTGTTAGCAAGATGTGTGCTGGCATTAGTCACAACCTAGTCTTTCGCAGGGTTGTCAATCACAATTATTCCCACAAATCTGAGTTTTCTCCCCTTCCAGTTACTCTCTACACTCTCAGTTTCAAAGTTCATTTAGTATTTCTCGCTCATCCCACACTATGACAATTTGAAGGTTGGCTTTTGGAGGCTTTTTTAGTTTAAAAGTTTTTCTAGTTGTATTTTTGTAGGTCAAAAGAATTTTCTGAGTCTGTTATCCTTCTGAGTTGTGACTTTCCCAAGACAGCAAATACAAGGTTTTTATAGACCTGTTTTCATGAAGATTTAGTTGTCTTAAGTCTGAAATTATTTAGGAGAGAGATGACCATGTTACTACAGTTCATTGAATGTAAATTATGAAATTGAAAGGCAGACAGCTTGAGTAATGTTATGTTTTAAATAGTAACACCAAACACAACTTAAGGAAAGAGAAGGTAGGTAGGAAAGAATCTTCACAAATCCATACCTTTGCCCCCCCCTTATTTCAGGTGACTTGCTGACCTCAAAAGCTTCTGACATTCAGTACTTCTGAAAACCAAGACTTTTCTTTCACATCTCTCTCTGGATATACAGCCTAACTTTGCCTCCTCTTTTAAATTTTTGACTTGCACCCTTCGGAGAGTGAAGTTAACTAGACAAAAAGAGGGTGACGCAGCTGGTTGGACAAGAGCCACTCAGTCCATGCACTGAAATAATACTCAGGAGATAAAACAAGGTGAAGGGTAAAAGCATGAAATGTGACTAAGCAATTAGAGGTTTTCTTCCGCTTCCCCACACTAAGTAGCAAAAAGGACCATATGGAGCTGCTGAATTTCCTGCAGAAAAGAGCATTCAGTTTCAGAGCAGGAAAGGACTTTGTCTCCAACCACACTGGCCTGCTTGAGAACAATGCATCCTGTAAAAGGCTACACCGACCACTCCTGTCGTGTAGCACTTGATCGTTCATACACTCACAGTCTTTCCAAAAACTCAGGATTACTTTATGGTATTGGTTTTTTTAGAAGAAACAAATGGAAAAAGCCAAGTGCAGACTCCACTACCTGTAGTCGAGTGGATTGGCATTAGTCAACCTGTGACCCTTCAGGGCCCTCTCCTTTGCTCCCATCACTATTCACTGCAGATGCCAGGGAACAGCAAAGGCGAAAGGTCCAGGCCCCGGGCCGCGAGGCCGGGGAGGATGGGAGGGACACTCTGAAATTGTCTGGTGGTCGGGTAAGCCGGCGGTCCGTGCCCGCCGCAGTGTGCCGGGGCCCGGGGCAGCGGGAGCGAAGGTGTGCTGAGCGGGGCTTAGTAGGGCTAAGCGGGGCTGAGCGGGGCGGCAGCGGGTGGGCAGCGGGACGGCCGGGCTGTCGTGCCGAGGTAGGGGCCGTAACAGAGCGCAGCCCCGGCGGCAGCGCCCGGCACAAGTGCGAAGCGGCGCACCCGGGACTGCGCTGGCTCCCGCGGTCCTCGTCCCTTACCTCCGCGCTCCTGGGACGGCCTTTTTGGGCGGGAGAGCGGGAGGGGGCTACCTTTTCTTAGGAAAGTCCCGTCCCTTGCTAGAGAAACTTTCTACGTTCCTATGCTTGAGAGTCAACTAGTTGCACTCGCTGAAGTGCGAGGAGTGTGTGTGGCTTCTCCCGCACCAGCCTCCTCCTCCATCTACCTCCCCCCCCTCCCCGAATTTCCCCTCCCGTGTTGCTCCGAGTTGTACTTTATTTGTGTGTGAAGAAAGGGAGGGGGGGGGGGATGTTCTGTTTTTGCCAGAGGAACAGTGAAAAAGGGGAGCCTCGGCTCGGAGAAGGTACGAGAATAAATACGTAAGGAGCGGCCCTAAAATAAAGGTAGCGGCATATCCCGGCAGCGAGAAGGTGAGTGTCTCTGACTTCCCCGTCCCCGTATCTGCCTCCCACCCCTTCTGCTCGGAGGTGGAGGAAACCGGTTCCCTGTCGCGTGTGCATGTGCCCGTGGAGGCGTGTGTGTGCATGTGCTTGTATTTAGCTTTTACTTAGCGTTCTTTTCGTGTTGGTCTGATGACAACAACAACAACAACAAAGTTACTGTAAAACAAACGTGATGGGAAGGAGCAGCGGAGGGGTAGAGACGAGCTTTCAGCCCCGGCCCCACGCGAATTTAGTTGCAAAAATCCAGACTGGTCTTCAGTGCGAGCGGGGTGACTTTTTCCACGCCCAGGCGGATTTTCTGCCTCGCTCCAGGTGACAATCCCCGCCGTTTTGCCCTCACCTTTCTTCGGCTAGCTGTTACCGGCGCTGCCGCGGTAAGCCCCAAGACAGCCGCAAGCCGTCACGGCTGCCCTCGCATTATTCCCCTCTTGCGCCTCCCGGCCACCCCCGTGGCGGCGGAAACACAGGACCCGCGCTGAGCCCCGAGAGCAGCCGGGGGCTGCCGGCCTGCCTGCCTGGGGGAGGCGGGGGGCAGGTCGGCCGGCGATGACCGGGGCCGGCGGTGACTTGACCGGAGTTTGGGAGGAAACAACATTTCTGGCGGCGGGAACCCCCTCCGGCCAGAGCGACGTGAAAACCACGCAGGGATGGTAGCGAGCCCCTTCCCGAAAACCCCGTTCCTTCCAGCGAAGGTCTGGGCAGCGCGGGGGCGAGACAGCCTGGCCGGGAGCCGCAGGCACAGGCGGCGGCGGCGGCGGCAGAGGAGCCGGTCGGTTCTGCCGCCCGCCCTCGGCCCCGCGTTGCCCCAGACGCCGGCAGCGTTCGGGGGTCGCCACTGCCCGACTGCCTCGGGGTGCCGGCGGATGGGGCAAAGCTGCCTCCCGGCCGGGAGCCACCACAGCGGATTCGGCAGCCACTTTTCCCAGTGTCCGAGGGGAGCTGGGACAGAGCTGCCCGTTGTTTTTGTTCCTCTCCGTTTCCTTTCCCTGAGGGATGTCTCCTGCCCTTCCCCTCCCCCGCCCCGGCTTGTTTTTCTTGTGGTTTTAAAGGACGAAACGGTGCGTTTTCGGGTCGTCCCACCCCGCCCCCGCCGCGGGTCCCCGCTGCGCAGGAGGACTGGGCCACGGGGAAGCCCCGGCACGGGGGTCCCGCCGCCCTTCCCACCGGCGATGCGGGGTCCTGCGTTTGGTCAGAAAGCGTTTCCACGTGGGGGAACCTTGTGTGTGTGCGCGGGTGTGCGCGCGTACTTGATCCGCGAGGAGGTAACAGGATTCTCCGTGTTCAAACCCAGTGGGCTCATAGCCATTAATTTCCTTCTCCTGCTGTCAATTACAAACACTTCCAAAATCAGATGCCCGCGGAGAACCGCCAGCTGGGTTCCACACGGCTTCGGCGGCGGTTCTCCCCGAGCCGCGGGGGCTCCGCGCCGCTCCCGGGCGCGGGGGTGCCCCGGGGCCGCGCCCGGCACCCACCCGCGGGGGAGCAGCCCCGCGGCGCCTTCCTCCGAGAAGGGAGAGCGGGATTCCGCGGCAGCGCCGCTGCCAATCGGTAGTTGACATCTAAAGTTTCATTTACATTTATGAAACCTCCGCTCGGAGCCAAGCGGGCGCGGTGCTGCCCGCCCCGGGACCCGCGGGCAGGGCTTGCAGCGGAGCACACGGAGGGACACGCTGAGGTCGCGCGTGGCGGTGTGAAATACCTGGTACTTAGAAAAACCCTGGGAGGCAAGCTGTACCAGACAAGGGAGCGCCTTGGCCAGTTCGAGTTTAAGCGTGAAGTCATGCTAGAACAGTAAGGAACCAGTATTTACAGTTTTCTGGGGTTTGTTTTGCGTGTTTCACATGCGGAGTCTAGAAAGTGTATCTAAGATAAACTAATCGGCAGTTTGGATTTAGAGGGAATTATACAAAGCAGGCATCTCTCCTGTATTGTAAATATATTTTTTGGTCTGATCTCAAAGTTTGTTGTTTGAAGCATGCACTTTCTATTAAAGCTCAAGCTATATTTTTGTTTCATTTCCTTAACACTCAGAAGAAAACTTTCATAAAATTGCTGTGGGTTTGATTTTTCCTTCTAGTATTTCTGAAAATGCTGCTAAATAACAAATGCTTGCATACCTGCAGTATGTATCATACTGTGAGTAAAGTGGAAATACAGACTGACATTTCGCTGTCTTCTCTGTGATTCTTCCTCTGTATTTGACATCTAATGTTAGCTGGGCTATGTCCGAAACAGCTCTTCTTGCTTTCTTTTGAAAGTTCTGGTATTTATGTTACCAGATACTCTTCAATCATATCTAATAGAAATAAAAGAGTTTGTTGGTTAATCTTTCGTGTATATTTGTTCAGATAATTTGTAAGCTGTTATTAATTGTTACGAGTATATGACTGTACCGCTAATAAATTTAGTTGACAGTTACTTTTGCTGGATTTGTATTTATTAATGACTTCACAACACTTTGCAATAGATATTTATTCTGTATGGATAATGCAAATTGAATAAATAAATTGTAAACAAGCGATGTAATGAGTAAGACAGCGGTGGTTTTCCAGTTAATTGCAGTTTCCAGTTAAAATATTTCAAACAAGGTAACTAGAAATACAGCTATAGATAGTATCCTGTAACATATTTTTAGCATCTGATGCAAGCGTTACAGTTTAACACTTTAAACTTTATGCAACTTTCACCTTTCAATCCTAGAATTAATATTAAACACAGGCATTTAGTGTGGGAAAGGTACCTATCTCTTTCCTTGATGTACTGGAGTTATTGCACGATGTTCTGTGCAATCTTTCAGTTTTAAAGTTTAAACTGCTTCTTCCTTTTAAGTACAAAAGTTAATACAGAAAGAAGAAAGAAATTCCTAGAATTTCTGTCAAATGTTCTAGGACACAGCTATTATTTTTTTCTGTGTTATCTTTTTCCTTCTTGAAAGTAGAGATTTTATGAACTCAGGGTAAAACAGGTCTCCCTTTTTATAAGGAGACTTTATTCAGCATACTTCTATATTGCAGCTGCTGATCATATTTCATAGAGCTGTTAAAGCACTTAAAACCTAAAATTAGGTACTGTCTGGTAGTAAATATTTCAAATCACTCCTTGAAGAAATAGAGAAGTAGGCTTAAATAGAGACGTTTTGAAATATAACATTGAAGAAAGGTAATCTTGCTTTGCTTTTACTCAAAATAATGCAATTCCAATCTAAATCACTGATTTCAACACAGTGTTCTTTTGTCCTTAGTTTTTGTTAATCTCCTGCATTTTTATTGTGATTTTATGCTGGCTTTATTTGATATCATAACCAGGTACTTTGTTCAAGCTATGTTTACGACGGCAACATTTGTATTAACAGGTGTTGAATTAACTTCAAACATACGTGTATTTCCAGTGAGTGTTCTTGTGATACTAAGAACTGAAATGTAAATTTCCATGCTTCCTGGTGTGTGTGTTTCTCATGGCTTTTAATTGCATTTGTTTTTTTCCAGATTTAAGCTGAGTTAATTTACAGATTAGTATTTTTAATTTGTAGGGTGGGTGTGCGTTTATTGTATGGTAGTTTTCTATTTGTTTTTTTAGTTGAACATAGCAATAGGTTTATTTGCTTCCTATCATTCATTTTTGCTACTGTCAGGGTTTGCAGGAAGAATGCAAACACAGGGGCATCAGGCTAACAGACATCTGTCAAGTTGATCAAGTATTTTTAAAGCTTTTAAGAAGTTCAGCGCTAAACTAAGTCTGGTAGCAGAAACACTCAGATGTCTTTGCTTTTTCTTTGTACTTGACAGTCCAGTAGTATTTCTGCTGTCTAATGTATCTGTAGTCTTTCTGACATTTTGTGTAAAAACCCCAGTATTTATGTTATGCAAGTGGAAGAAGAGTTTTGATATTCGGTCATCAATCGAAAGGTTTATAAGTGAGCTTAATATGTGTGATTTTTCTTTTTTGGATTTAAATATTGTGCAAATGTGTGCTCAACTTAACCTTTTTCTGTCATTGAAAAGTGCTAATTGATCTTGCTGACCCTGACATAATAGTATAGTTTGATATTTGAAACCTTTCAGCTTTGGCATGGCCCTTTAATCACCCCTGAGATTTCAGGACATGGTTCTAGTGCTACTCTTTTAAAAATTAAATAAAAATTATTAAAAATAATTTATCTTTATGGTCTTTTAAAGTCAGTAGATGTTATACCTATCAAAGCCCTAAGGTTTATTATATGCATCAAAAAAATTCTGCTTTACTTGTATTAGGTTATGTTTTAGAATGTTGCTGTACAAACATCACATTTTTATGAAAAAAAATTTTTTTGGCCGAGTCCACATTTCTGTGTTGCAGTGTTATTAAATCTGTCATTAAATCAGAAGTGGTTAAAGGAGCTTGGATGCACTTTGCAGTGCAAAAGCTCAGATAAGAAGAGTGCTTATATATCAAGTAAATAATAAAATTTATTTTAAGAGGCAATAAAATTCACATTTTTAGTCCACATTTTAGTTTGTAATGCTGCTAGAAAGATTGCTTTTGGGATGTCTTGTTATACAGTACCTTGGCGAAAACTATTTTAAAGAGGTTTCTTCTTTTTGTCTCTAAGCCTGAGAAATGTAACAAATATCTGGTCCCCTTTTTGCTTTAATGTTAATCTCTGAAAATTACTTTGATGATCATTTATCCTGTTTTGAAATGATTCACTGGGCCATCTCAGTTACAGGATTGTCTATAGAGTAGTTATCAGACTTTTGAGCAAAATGTCAAATGCGAATGGCTGTCTGAGGAATATTAAAGTGGAAGCATATTAAAGTTTCAATTTGTTTGAAATTTCTCCATGTCTAAAATTTCCCCACTTCTCCAAAGGAAGATTGTAATGACCAATGACTATCTTCAGAACTTTTGGAGGCCTGTATACCAGTGAGACTAATGTGATCTTAAGCTATTAGGCTTAGGTACAAGACACTAAACTTTGAGTTAGACTG